GTCCAACATGGGGATATACGACCCCTTAGGACATCAGAGTCTTTAAACAGGACTACATAATTAACTGGAATAAACTACATGCAAAAAGCCGTAACGAGTCTATAAGGGGTAACTTGGACCTTATTTGCAATATATTTAGAGCACTTGTATCTCACAACTTCTTATCCCAGAACTATTGCGTGTTTAGTGTCTCGGTTGGTCCTTTAATGATTTATAGCGCTAGCGTTGTGTCCATCTGAATTGAAGCCTTGACTAAATTTAAATTTTATGCATAGAAATTATTGATAAATTATGTTTAAATGGAGCAATTGCATTTTATTTCGGTTTAATCGTGAAAACGTACATTTCTATTTTTCACTTCCCCTTTGAATATTTCGCACGTAGCTACGTTTTCGTTTTGCATAAACAAAATACTTGTGATATTATTAAAAGCGGCTAAATATAAATGTAAATTATAGTGATGAGTCTTGCAGAAGAAAAGTGCATGAAGTGTAGCTAAATGTAAATGTAAATTAGTGAAGAGTCTTGCAGAAGAAAAGTGCATGAAGTGTAAGAAACACAAAAGTTTCGTTGTTCCCAAATATACATTTCTCAAAAGTAGAATTGCATTGCAAGTTGCAAGAAAATTTGCACCGTGTAAAAACAGGGCCTTAAGTATAGGCTTAATTTCAAATAACTCACGCACAACTCAGACGCCAGTGAGGTAGAGGAAATTGTGTTTCAGTTGAACTTGTTTGTAGCTAATATCCTATAAGGATACCTAGGATCTGTGAAACCCAATTAAACTCTGTCGTTTAAATGTCATTTAAATATCAGGCAAATTTTCTCATCATGAATATGTCCCCCTTGGTAAGAAAAAATTGCGCGGTTCAGGACATATATTTCGTAATGCACTATATTTTCAGATGAAGAATATTTCTATCGCCGATTCTCTGCATTTTGGATATTCAACAGCTCTTTTTCAACAGAATTTTTCTGATGAAGCGTTTTATAAAAACAGAATACTTGTGATATTATTCAAGCGCATTTATTCTCCTAGGACAGGGGCTAAGTATAGACTTAAAGACAAGTAACTTCTTTAACTCAGAATACACTTGGGGCCGGTTGTTCAAAGCTACACGGCCAAAAAATGATCAAGTTGTTGCATCAGGAGTGAACAATGTTCTGCTGCACCCCATAAATAGTATTGTTAACAATGTTGTTGAACCTTGTTGAATCATCAGTGTTGATGCAATGTTGTTGTAACAAGTTGCAACAGCATCGATATTTCAACAAGTTTCAACAACATTGTTAAAAATACTGTTTGCAGGTTGCAGCACAACATTGTTCACTCCTGTTTTTAACAACTTGCCTTCTGTTATTAGGATATTTTATTTCAAATTCTGTGTTAAAATAAGTTGTTATTATCCGACCAAATCCACCAGACAAAAAAATAATCAAAAAACTGTGTGTCCAATAACTTTTGAGCGCACCTGTACGTTAACATTTCCTTTGTTGTTGAATGAACCGAATGAAAGTTATACTTTTAACTTTCCTCGTAAAACTTCTGGAATATCACCGGCCAATACGACTCAAACACGTGCAAGATATATCACGGGGAATAAATTGTGCTCAACAAGTATGACTAAATGTATATGTTTATAATCAAGCAAACGAAGCCCCCGTATATTGATAATTTTATGATGTTTTCTAAAGTATTCTCAAAATAATATATTCAATATATCAAATATACATTTCTATTACTTCAAAACGCAATGAAATATCCATGATAAATAAAAATTTTATATATATATATATATATATATATATATATATATATATATATATATATATATATATATATAAATATATACCGGGTGTCCCAAAAAAAAGTACCTATTTTTAATTCAACATAACTTGTAAGCGAACTGAAGAATACCAAACAAATAATCCATATTAAGTGGAGTAATGTCTAACTTAAAGTTTGATATATTACATATGAAGTTTGGACGAATAGTGTCTGAGATATTCCCGCTTAAAGTCGCAGCAACGTTTTGAAACTTGTCAAAAATAAGGAAAAAATGGCCTATTAAACTTGTTTTAACAATACCAGTTCGTAACATGGTGTCTTGTAACTTATCTTTTAGTTGTTTTTTTTTTTTAAATTGTTTTTTACTTTTTCTTATTCATCTGCAAATTCATGTCCACCAGCAGCAACGCACTTTCTTCCCGTGTCAGCATGCCATAAAAAGACCTTTGAATCATGTGGGCGTCCAAATTGCGACATGACCTAACAATCGCCTCGCGAAGTTCTCCCAAGTTTTGAGTTTGTTGGTCATGAGGAACTTCCCAAATCTGCTGCTTTAAATAGCCCCAGAGGAAGAAATCACACACCGTCAGGTCAGAGGAGCGTGGAGGCCGTGGCCAATCGCCGCGTTTACTCATGAGTCGACCAGGAAATTGCCCCTGTAGATACCGGATTGTTGTGTTTAACAAGCCATTTTTTGCCGATTTTTGACACATTTCAAAACGTTACCGTGTCTTTAAACGCGGATATCTCGGAAACTACTCGCTCAAACTTCATATGCAATATATCAAACTTTAAGTTAGACATTACTCAACTACACATGGATTATTTGATTGTAATTCTTTTGTTCGTTTATAAGTTATGTTGAATTAAAAATAGGTACTTTTTTTTGGGACACCCGGTTTCCACCTGTAGTAACACTGGATCAATAAGAGATTATCCTTACTGGACCTCTAGGAAGAAAAGTTTAGAAATGTTTACTAAAGTTAATTCAGTTTAGGTTTCCACCTGTTGTAACACAGAATCAATAAGAGATTATCCTGACTCAACCTCTAGGAAGAACAGTTTACAACTGATAAAATATATACTACCTTACACTAGTATACAATAATTCTTACACAGCTAATATTTAATGTGTAATCTCTTCCAAAGGTTCAGCAATTTTTGGGGCAACATGAACATTAAAATCACTATAGTATTTCAACAAGTTTTCAACTGAATTTGTGGACAGTTTAAAATGTGATGCAATTTTCTCTGCTTTCCATTCATCAGGGGTTTTCACTCGCAGTTGAAACAACAATGTTAATTCATTAGTGCTAAGCCTTGTTCTAGCTGTCGCCAGAGACAAGGATTCCTCTTCAGGCTGAGGGTTGTTCTTCAAAAATTATGATGGGAAAAGTGAGTACATTTTTACACTCATAGCAAAAGCAGAAATAAACAAGTTAAACATGCTCACCTTTTCAGGAACGTCAACCGAGTCCACTCGGATTTCTTTCAAGAGCTGTAGATATTCTTCACTTCTCTTGCTATGTAAATCAAATTTGGCTTGGTTTTCTAAATTTTATACATGGATAGTTTTCACACATTAACTCAATTTAACTGACAGAGTGACAGTTGTCTTCTACTGATGAGTAAAATAATCTGGCATTAGACAGAGTAAAATACTAAGGTACGTCACATCTGTGTGTATAGAAAGCTAATAGGTTAACATATAAGAGACACTGACAGAAAGTTTTGTTAACTCATTAATTGACAATACTCTTCCACTGATGAGTAAAATCATCTGACATTAGACAGAGTAAAATGCTAAATTAGGTCACATTTGGGTGCACTGCAAGCTAATAAGTTAACAAGAGACACTGACAGATAGTTTTTTTTAACTCATTAACTGACAATACTCTTCCACTGATAAGTAAAATCATCTGGCATTAGACAGAATAAAAAACTAAAGTAGGTCACATCTGCATGAGTGCATTGCAAGCTAATGGGTTAATAAGAGACACTGACAGATAGTTTTGTTAACACATTAACTGGCAATACTCTTCCACTGATGAATAAAATCATTTGGCTTTAGACAAAATAAAAAACTAAAATAGGCCTCATCTGGGTGCATTGCAAGCTAATGGGTTAACAAGAGACACTGACAGATAGTTTTTTTACTCATTAACTGATAGTACCTACTCTTTCACTAACGCACATGTAAAATATCATTGAACATGATAAAAGGTTTAATCATTATACAATGACAAAATGGGGCATCAGGGCAAAATTAACTTTTAATAAAGTCAAACAATCCTTACCTTGTTTTGCATTATCAAGCAAGTATTTTGTAGTTTCATGTTTTGGTGCCAGTGAAGGTTGGCCATCCAAAACTTTATCAATCTGCCTTTGCGTCTGCACTGGGCCACGCAGACTTCGTCTCAGTGCTGACCTCGCTGAACCCATCTATACTGGATAGTGAAATAAAAAACAAATATTAATTAAAACTAAATAGATTAAATTCACATAGTCCACTGTCTTATTTATTCATAATAACATATTTTGTCAGGATAGCTGCTTCAGTTATACAATTGCTATCAATGCAGGTCCTGAAATCAATTCACTAAGGCAAAAGAGCTGAAATAAAATGTTAAACATGGCGACTTAGTACAGCAATAAGTATAAACAAAATATTCTCCAAACTTCATGTGTGTTATAAGACCAATATTTGAACAAAGTGAATAAAGATTTAGTCTCATTTAGACAAGCCATAAATTAGACCACCAGCTACTACAATTAAATCCTTACGCTTTGTTAAAATTCAAGGCGACCAGTCGAATATATCCTGGCAGCGTTTTAGCCTCGTGTAAGCCTTGCATTTAGGCATGGTTTAGCACGATTCATGCATCAGTCTTGCATTGTTTTATTCTCGATCACAAAGTCCGCTTAAAATGTGTATTTAGGATATATTCCAGGTAGTTGAGTGTAATATTTACCTTAATCTTTTTTAAGACATGATCTCTACTTGCAAACGTGGTATCTTCTATGTTTTAAAAGCGAAAAACTTCACCGACTTTGCTTTTAAATCTCTGGAAGATTCCCTCATATTGCTTACACGCGAAATCCACGAAACCCGCGGGAATATCTTCGGGCGTTCGGAAATCGGCTTCGTAACTCGCCGTTCCTTCGTTGTTATAGCAACAAAACGTCAACAAAAACAATCGTGGTTGTCACAATTTATACATAAAGAAGAAAATTATAATGTAAAATTATTAAAACTAAACTGTTGGTTTTTGCCGTGAAGTAAGATTTTGTCGGGAGTTCGTGTGAGCAATGACCCGTGCTGACGAAGGTAGGAACAATCTTTAATATAAAGTAATGCTATCGTTGAAGACAATAAATCGGTCTTGAACTACTAGGAAACCAGAATAGTTTACTGAGTTTAGAACTGAATCAACTGATAGAGCTATTTACTATATTAAATAAAGTTGGTTTAGCTTAGTTTTCCTTCTGTAGTAACACTGGATGTTCAATAAGAGATGTTCCTTACTGGACCTCTAGGAAGAACATTTCAGAACTGATAGAGCTATCCAGTATAAATAAAGTTAGTTTAGTTTAGGTTTCCACCTGTAGTAACTCTGGATCAATAAGAGCAGGGGCGTAGGAACCGAGGGGGCCAAGGGGGCCATAGCCCCCCAACTTTAAAAATCACAGAAAAAAGTGCCCTTTTTCTTTGTGGAAACGTCTATGCCAACGCAACAATATAATTCAACTTTAGGCTAAAATGAAAAATAGCGAACTTGTACAGTCGTACTTCCCGCACTGAATTTGCTACCGCGATTAACAATACGATGACTCAAGTGGATATAATCTCCCTACATGAAGTATTTCCTTCTTGTTATAAGTGCCCTAGACGTTAATGGCCCCCCCAACTTAAATATGCTTCCTACGCCCCTGAATAAGAGATGATCCTTACTGGAACTCTAGGAAGAACATTTTAGAACTGATAGAGCTATCCAGTATAAATAAAGTTAGTTTAGTTTAGGTTTCCTCCTGTAGTAACACTAGATGGATAAGAGAAGATCCTTACTGGACCTCTAGGAAGAACAGTTTAGAACTGATAGAGCTATCCAGTAGAATTAATCCTGACATTCTGAGATAGATGTTGTAAATAATGCTGACTTTGATCAATACTCTTAATTTCTTTAAAGGAAAATCATCTATAGCATTTGGCACGACGCTAGATCGTGAGCTTCTACCACTAAAAGTTCCACCAACAAGATTTGGTAATCAGCTGCAAATACCCAGAGCACCGAACCTCGGACCAGGTCGTTACAACAATGATGAGGTAATTAGTATTATAAATCAGACTTTGCATAAAGCTCTTAGGACTTGATTAACGAAACAGTTTGGTACCACCACAGATATCCCCAATTTCATATGTAGCCAAGTCTTGACAATTCACATATAACAAGACGCCTGTTCTGGCGTTAACTCCGGCGCACGTGCCATGCGTCTTCAATATAGAGCTTCTGAACATAAACAATACAGTTCATATTCGCATTTAGATGCCTTGCGAACCTAAATGTTCGATTGCGAAATTCAAAAGGACATTGTACTTTAAAAAGTATAGAAGTTCAATTGTTCAAAAATGTAAATAAACCACATGATATATTCGCTTTGTCTTACACTTTGCCTTTGGAATTCGCGCTTATATAGTTATATTAAATGTTCAATCCTGTGCAAACTACGACGTTCAACGCGCCCATACACGACCACATCATCTTGTTAAACGGCGAAATAGCAGCGATATTATTAAAATAGGACCAAAATCTACATGTATTAAATATATTCTTACCCCAATTCAATCTAAACTTAGTCGAAAAGCGTGAGAAGAACGGTTTATTTGTTGCTCTTGGAGGAATTGCCGTATCATGCGAGCGAAATCGAATCGCGCATCGGAAAATTAGCCAAAGCTGTGCACCACAACTCTTAGCAGATAAGACTGGGACGTAGATAAATACGGTTACATACACATTTTAAATACTACAATCTTTCGCGCCATTCAGACTTGCGACGACGAAAAATAAAAAAAAAAAAAAAACAACAACAAAACAAAACCAGGGCGAATTTTCAACTCCGTCGCTGACGCCGGAGTAATTATATGCTCATAAGAAACTAATGTCCACACATTTATGGATTTTGCAGAATATAATATATATCTTTGCAGGATTTAATTAATCCTGTACTCCAAGTTGTAATTGTGGGTGAGGCAATTATACCCCACACCCCATAGGTGTGACCATGAACTGATCATCAACTATACTTATAGTACATCTCACATATTACCATTTCTTTTTGCAATTTTGTTTCATAGGTTAGCACCTTAACATATGAATTAGAACACCGTCCGGGATGCAAGAAAGGCTATTCACTTGGTGCAAGGACAGCCGAAAGATTTCAGAAACCATTACATGTAAGTAAACAGATTTCATATGCTCCAAAACCAATATTTCAGCTACTGGTATTGATTGGAAGCAAATGCTTTTGAAATCTCGCCTGACAAAGGCCGATATTTCATCCATGATAATCGATAAATGCAAGCTTGTAAATAGAAGCAATTATGATTCCTTAAACATTTTTAAAACAGAATACAGGGCTCAAAATAACGGCCGGTCAACGGACAATGACCGGCCAGAAATACTTGCTGACCGGTCACTGTCTTACTATGCCGGTCATTTTGACCGGCCAAGTTTTCATGTCTTTCGGAAAATATTCAACATAATTCCTTTTAATTGCTTGAAGGAAATGTTAAGGAAATTTCACAATTTTTTAAAGGAATTTTCAGTGAAAATAAGGAGGAAAAAAGATTTTCTGATTTTCCAAAGTGGAAGCACTGTTTATAATTTAAAATACAACGCTGATGTTTAAAATAGATCTTCAAGCGTATACAAATACTTCGTTGCTAAAGTTTTTTTTTATGGAATTGGGGTGATTATGGAACAAAGCCAAAGAACGCTTTCAGAGTTTTTTGAAAAGACGCCCGTGTCAAAGAAATCGCAACTTATAAATAATGAAAATCCAGTTCCTTCCGCTGTGACTGTGTTGAGCCAGAAATTGTCTTCAGCACCATCGACGACGCCTCTCTCAAAACGACAAAAGTTATCTGTTTCTACTGCTGATCGTTGGAAGAGAACTAACCTAGCTAAACACATGGCGAGCGAGTGGCTGGTCATAAACGCTGACCAATCAGGTTATGTCACAAGTATGAACTGCAATGTCTGCAAACGTTATGCAGAGAAACTGAGAGGATATAAAAACTTTTCCACAGCTTGGGCATTCACCGGAACAGAAAATCTCAGGCTAAGTAATGTTGAAGACCATATCCACGGAGACCCACACAGAAAAGCGATAGACTTGTATTTAAAGAAGGAAAAAGCCCAAAGTCTAAGTGAGAGAGCAGAGTTTGTGAGAGCTGGAAAAGATGCGGGTCAGCAACGCGTATCAGATTGTCTCTCAAACATGGCAGCTTGCGATATTACTAAAACAAAGATCAAATTTGAAGTCGCATACTTTGTAGCCAAAGAGCAGTTGCCCTTGTCAAAATTTCCAAGACTTCTAAATCTTGAAGAAAAGCACGGAGTTGACGTTGGACGCTCTTATCGCAATGATATGAGTTGCAATGAATTTATAAAATACATTAGTGAGGATTTAGGAGATATTCTCAAAGAAAAACTAACAAAAGCCAATTTTTTTAGTGCGTTATCTGATGCGTCAGAGGATGCTTCTGTAATTGAGAAAGAAGCTGTTTTTGTCCAACATCTAGACAAGAATCCACCAGGAAGTGACAAAGTGAAAGTGGTTTCGTCGTTTTTAAATTTGGCTGACCTGAAGTCTGGTAAGGCTGAAGGAGTAGTTGAATCAATAAAGGAAAGTTTTCGGAATATTGCTATCACCAACGACATCTTTGAGAAAAAGTTAATTGGTTTTGCCGCTGATGGTGCTGCAGTAAACAGTGGCAAAAAAGAAGGAGTTATCAGTATTCTTAAAGATAGAATGCCATGGGTTATTTTTGTTTGGTGTGTTGCGCATCGCCTTGAGCTTGCTGTTAAGGATGCGTTAGCAGGAACTGTCTTTGACGACGTAGATGACGTGTTGCTTCGTCTATATTACCTATACGAGAATTCTCCCAAGAAACTCAGACAGTTACGAGAGCTTCACAAAATATATTCCGAGACATTCGAATTTGAAGAGGGTGGAGTGAGACCCAAAAGAGCATCCGGTTAGTCAAATTAATTTTACTTATTTTATTTTATTTTTGCTGTACATGTTTATTTTTGTTTTAAAAAAATTGACTCTATGAGTAAACCTTGGCAAAACTAAACCGCCTCGTAGCCAGTCACCCAGCCAGTATTTTATCATTATTTTTTTAGGTACTCGTTGGATATCCCACAAGGTCAACGCTCTTCAGGTCTTTCTTGACAAATATGGAGTATATGTACAGCATATCCAGAGTATGTGTGAAGACAAGGCCTTTAAAGCAGCAGATCGTCAGAAATTTAAAGGCTGGCTAAAGAAATGGCAGCAAGCAAGAATCCCACTCCTGTCAGCTCTATTAATCGAATTACTTGCTCCAGCGAAAATCTTGTCGCTTGCTTTCCAAGACGAAGAAATTGACATCGTCTCTTCCATAACTTGTATTGACAAGGGAAAAAAGCAACTGGAACGGCTCAAGAAAAGAAAATTCGAAGAACTTCCAACTGTAAAACGTCTGCTCGATAAAGTGGAATTTGCTGACGGACAATATACCTACCAGAATGTCCAATTACACTCCTTCGAGGCAGCGAAAGACTCGGCACAGACTACCAAAGATATTTTGTTGAGGCGAATGACAGTAGCTTTGGATAACAGAATGAAAGTTTCTGAAAACGAGCACGTGATTATGGCGGCTCAGATTCTTAACACAGAAGGCTGGGAAAGAAATACGGAGGACGGCGATGAAGACGAGTCATTCGCAGACGAGATTCTTGAAGATATTTCAAACCACTTCAGAGAACCGTTGTTAAAAGCTGGTATGAATTGTGGTTTATCTACTTTATTGGAGCAGTGGCATTCCCTCATAGATTACACAAAGCGTTACCTTAATCCCTCCGGTACGCACTATTTACGAGTGTGGCATCGCATCTTCAACTCCCCTCGCAGCGTTGATTGGAATATGGTCCTTCTCATTATAGAACTTCTTTTTTCTATTCCGATTTCAAACGCTAAAGTCGAGAGGCTTTTTTCTTTGATGAAACGTGTGAAGACGGATTCACGCGCATCCCTGAATGAAAACACGCTAACCAACCTCGTGCGAATCAATGTGGAAGGTCCAACTCTTGAGGAATATGATCCCTCAGCAGCGATGCAACTTTGGGCATCAGGCAGATCACGTCGACCACAGCAAACCAAAAGAAAAAAGTATAAGGCACGGAAATGTGTTAAGAAATCAAAAGTACTGGTCGACGAAGACACAAGTGAAGAAGAAGAAGAAACTGTTGAGCAAAATGATGACGAGGAAGCAATGGAGGAGGTTAATGACGTTGACATTACTGAGTGCAGTACCAGTTACTCCTTGATGAGAGAACTGTCTGATTTAGAATAAACAGAATAAACGTCATGAATAAGGTTTGTCATGACGTCATGAGTTATACGTTGGAAAGTTAATTCACAATAAACAAGAATAAGAATAGTTATATATATGTAAGATTACGGAGAACAAAGTGTCGTTTTATAGTTTTTTACTGATTACCATCTCTCTAAGAATCTGTATGACTGAAAACATTTTTTGTTCTTGTTTTTATTTTAAATTATTTGTATTAGTGACCGGTCAAAAACCGATTTTGACCGAGCTAAAATAAATGTGACCGGTCATTTTGACCGCTGATATTTCGACTGTTATTTTGAGCCCTGAGAATATGCAATTTCTGGAATACATTTGACTGCCCAGATTAAAATTTGTTCACTGAAAAGTCAAGTCAACCCCGATTATCTAATGCCTTCCCGCATCAGAACCATTAAATTAATTTTACACCAGAGTTCGTAGAAACTCTACCGGTAATATTCTTGTTTTTAAGGCCGTACACAAAGCGATTAACCACTGACCGATAACCATGCATGCTTTATGGGGGAGCAATAATCTCAAAAATCTTTATTAATACATGCTTGTTTGAACTACAAGAAATTCAATCAAACTGAACGAAACTTGTAGTTTTATATATAAATACATGCTTCGTGGTAATGAAAATTATAAATATATCCCTCGTGCTAAAAATTTCTCGTTTGCCCTAAAAAATAAGTTCTAAAACACCGAAAATACGCGCAAAAATTTGCCGGAACTTTGACCGGCAAAACTGAACAAAAATTAAGAAGATTTAACGGTAAAAAGCGAGCAAAACCAATCCTTATTTAAGGCAGCGATCAGCAATGGTTATTTTGAAGACTGTTTATATGACTATTGACTAGTATATTGTCGAATTCAATATTGTCAAATATAGATGCATTTATAGACATATCTTTACTTGAAATTACCTGTAATTGCATTCTACAGCCTCCTATAATATTCTTTTATAGTTTCATCAAAATTCTGTTCCGGTAGACTCGAATTTTAAGACAACTATTTCGACAATAAATTCTATTCCAAATTTCCAACCATCACTTCTTGTGATTCTCGAATTCGACTCGAGGCTCGATCACCTCATCAGCATAACCTCGGTCTCTGATTGGTTGCTTAGGGAACAAAATCCATCCTGATTGGCTCATATTTGTAGTCGATTTCCCGCAAAAGAAAGGTTCGTTGTTTTAATGTTTTTGACCAGCACGCGCAATGAATTAAAGCATTTCGCCCATTGATTGCTAAGCTTTGAAAGATTTTCAAAAAAAAGAGCAGTTCAGAAAGTATTGATTTAAATTGTAAACAAAATTATGGACACGAGTTTATACGAATTAGGAACCGTTTAAATATACAAACGCTGCCATTTCACATTTATATTCATTAAAATAATACACAATTAGGGCAAAATCTCTGCAGGATCTTGCATGATTTTGATAAGAACTTGACAGATCTTATGAGTTATGATAAGATCTTGACAAGATCTTGCAGGGATCTTGCGACAAATCATGCTATTATCAAAGCCGTAGATAAAAGCTTTGTTGCGTCTTGCATATATTTCAATTGTCGTATGCAAATTTTATTTGTAGCTTGACACACCAGGGCCTCAAACCCATCAAGAAATCAACGGCAAACCACGAGAATTTAAACCCGCTTTTCGGCCATTCCAAACAGGCGCTTCACGGCTTCCACCAGTTAGCGCAAATGTAAGTATGAAAAGGCTACTATACGAGAAGAACAAAAATGATACGTTCGATTAAATACTGCGGGAAGTATTTTGATAATTATGACTTCTAAGCGCTGATTGGCTAATGTATGAAACCACGAGATCACGTGGTATATTCAACAGGGAAACGTCTTTACTATACTGGAGCCGGTTGTTCAAAAGGCGTTTAGCTGAAAAGGTGCATAGGTTCAAAATCGGAAACAAATTCAATTCAATTCATCTATTTATTGAACAAATACATATTTAATGCATAATAAATTATGTGGGTCCAGTCATTTAAAAGATCTACGAGAGTATTTTTAAACGTCGGCTTATCCACCGTTTATAAGCTAAACGCCTTTCGAACAAACTACATACAGGACTTTTCTACATTCCCCAAAGGCCAAAAACAAGGCCTTGAGGCATTGTAATTTTTTTCATTTATTGAGTTATACTTTTTCTTTTTTTTTCAATTTAGTCACGGGAACATGTTTTGCCAGGGTAAGTTTTTTGGTTGAAAAATGTCTCAGTGACAAACCGAATTAAACTGTTAATTGATGGTTGGTTAAATATATATTTAATTAATTAATAAATGACCTATATAGTATGTCGATATAACAAGGAAATTTAATTAAGGTTCTTTAAAAGGTAAAAACTTTGTAAATTCCATTCAGACCTGGCACATACGAACACAAAGTGTCTCGAAACAGAAAAGTGAAATATCTTGGGTCGTTCGGAGGACCCCAGACCTTGGTGACGTCAATACGAATGAAATGTACTGGAAATGGGGAGAAAGATAAGGTAGAGGCATAGGAAAGATAGCTTTTTAATTGTATATCCAGTTTAGTATTAGGTTTTCTCCTGTAGTAACACTTGATTAATAAGCGATGATCCTTACTGGACCTCTAGGAACAACAGTTTAGAACTGATAGAAATATCCGGTATAAATAAGGTTAGTTTAGTTTAGGTTTCCTCCTGTAGTAACACTGTGTGAATAGGAGATGATCCTTACTGGTCCTCTAGGAAGAAGTTTAGAACTGATAGAGCTATCCAGTATAAATAAAGTTAGTTTAGTTTAGGTTTCCTCCTGTAGTAACACTAGATCAATAAGAGATGATCCTTACTCGACCTGGAAGAACAGTTTAGAACTGAAAGATAGTTATAGAATAAACAGAGGAATATAGTTGATAATTAAAGATCAAACCCAAAAATTACAGAATCATATTTTTCTATCTAGTGTTGTTCTTGACACGAAGAACCGAAAGGCGATTACTACGAATACAAAAATAAAGCTTTATGTCGACCTTGCTACGATAAAAACGCGATCGCAGAATCTAAATTTAGCAAAAGGTATTGCCTAAGATACATTGTGGACGAGTCCTATACTGAGTAATGAGATTTATCATTTGCCCGATTATAATAGCTTTATCGTATAGAAATTGATTATATTCCAACTTTATTTATGATTTTCAGTGTTTTAAGTAATTTCACCAAAGTTCGCGATTGCAGTAGTATTCATAACCACGAAGGAACAAATGCAAAACTTCGAGTAAGTCTATCTTAACGTAAGTCACAATTGGGTGCATTGCAAGTTAATGGATTAACAAGAGACACTGACAGATAGTTTTGTTAACTTATTAACTGACAGTACTCTTCCACTGATGAGTAAAATCATCTGGCATTAGACAGAGTAAAATACTAAAGTAGGTCACATTTGGGTGCATTGCAAGCTAATAGGTTAATAAGAGACACTGACAGATAGTTTTGTTAACTTATTAACTGACAGTACTCTTCCACTGATGATTAAAATGATTTGACATTAGACAGAGTAAAATAATAAAGTAGGTCACATCTGGGTGCATTGCAAGCTAATTGGTTAAGAAGAGACACTGACAGATAGCTTTGTTAACTCATTAACTGACAGTACTCTTCCACTGATGAGTAAAATCATTTGACATTAGACAGAGTAAAACGTTAAAGATTGTTTGCGCATATCAGCACAAATTCACATCTAAAGTCTCAATTCTTCTATTTTCTAGTTAATGACGGAAAAAGACCTCAAAAAACTTCGCAATAAAGAAGCATATTTCAGCTTGTATTTTTGAGATAATATTCTAATATTATCAATAACCATGTGTACAATACACGATGATATTTATGACAACATGAAGTTTATCCTAATGATCTATATCAATAGACAATGACAATAGCATGGAATAGTAATACTGCCATTTTGTATACAATTATTAGCGATACATTCGCAATGAATAAGGAAACGACGATTAATTTCAGATGGTAGACGGTTTTCTAGTTGCAAAAAGTATGCATTTCTACATTGCCATTGGGATGAAGCAATGGACAAATTTGATACGACTTAAGACCTACCTACGTGACATTAAATTAACAATAATCCACCTTCTCCAAGCTCTTACCGTACTCTGTGTGTGATTCCATTTAAACCCAACATTTTGTTGAATTGTTGTCAACAGCTTCGGCCCATGCTGGAAACTCTGAGAGGTCAAACCAAGCAGCTCCAACGCTGTGTGTCCAAGCCAGCATTACTGTTATGGCAATGATATTCATTGCAAGACCAGCTTTGGCCTTTGGGAAACACAAAATATTATTGTAAACTGGTGTTGTGTGCTATCATGCAATCTTATGGCAAACTAATCGCCATATTTGTTTACATTTCTTAGGCCAAGCCAATCAGGATGCTTACATTTTTAATACTTCATGTAAAATGGTAAATAATATACCTTTTTACCGGAAGTAGTGTAATTTATGCATTCTGATTGGGTTACTGAAAATTTAAACAGACTTGCTGGTTGGTCTAAAACGAAATTACCCTCTTCTACCTTAAAAAATATCAAAACGCGTAGTAGCCAATAATCTACCGCGGTTTGTGTTTGAACTACCTGAAAAAGATACCTCAAACGTGGTGGTCCAGTGTGAGTAGTATTCTACAATAAGCTGTCGTGGTTTGTGTCTTAAAGTGCCCATGTCATAAAATTGGAATTTATCTCATTAGAATCGCCGTGAAACGTAGATTACGAAAATAGTAATCACATTTGAAATTGAGTTTGTTTTCGCGGAGAAATAAAGCGATAAAGTTTGAAAATTTCAAATTTTAACGGCAAAAGTTTTTGAAATCCGCGACAGTCGGAAACTGGTAACTAATACGTCACAATAGGAACTCGCATATTGCGCCTTTAGATAAATAATAGTATGTAGTACAAGAGAAGCGACTTTATGCCAGCTAAATTCGGTTATTAAACATGGCAGAAATATGTCTTCATCAAGTTTAGCTATTGAGAAGTTACCAAAGAAATAACACCGATTAAAATGTTTTCCTGCCAATGCAATACTAAGAAAGAACAAAAGTTAAGACCATGAACGCGGGTCAATATCAGCCTTGTCAGGAGGTAAGAACACTTCGGACCATACATTAAGGGTCCATTAACAAACCAGATGCCGATGATAAGCTGAAAAGGTATCGCGAAATGGAGCAATCGTGCAACGATCATGGCATCGAAGCTACAACGAAGACTTGATCGTAGGCGTCAGTAAATAGCAAATGTTTTCTTATGATCTTGATTGCGCGACTTGCTTTCCGTGACCCCAGAACATAATTATAATATCATTACGCTAGATATACAGTATTCAAATTACAAACAGATTCTATGGAAGTAATCTGGCAATTGTACTTAACTTAATTCTAAAGTTTCGTCTTAGTTGATCGTCATTCGTAATCGCGCACATACATACAGTTCACCCGGGTGTAGATATAAGGCGGACGCGGAACCCTAATACATTTTACTGCCCTATATAAATATCATATTAATAGCATTACGATTGAGGTTTTCCTGTGGCTCATGAGTGCCGGTATTTCTACAATGTGTTTATGTGTATGTAAGTCACGCATGATTATCTGGTTTATCTTCATTACAAATCAACTGAGCTAGAGTATGAGTGGAGTTCCCATGTGCTTTCAAAAAAAATAGTTCAAAGAGAGACTTAGAGTTATCAATATTAACTGAGAAATCTAACACGTCTCGCGCAAAAAAAACATCAAATCATGTGTATATAAATATAACCCAGTACATTTCGCTTTTATTATGGCATCTTTTTTACCAACATTCTTTAGCTGTCTTTACTAAAATGTGCGCACTCGCATCTTTTGAGACGTTATTTACCGAACCTTTATCTGTTAACTGAAACACTGCCTAACGTGTTTACAACACAGTGACTCAATTGGTCAGACTCATGGCGTATTTGCAATTATTGCACGACTGTTGCCAGGAATGTACAATTATTAAAGCCATTTCACAACAGATTTTGATAATATATGAGTCACTTTATACAGAATTGTCTGTTAAGTAAGAACAACCACTTTTTTGCGCGGTTAGCTTCTACTTATTACTCCATGCAATAGAGTTACTAAATTGTCGCGTCGAACGAGTTCCTATTGTGACGTCAAACACCTTGTTTCGCACCAGTCTCATTTGCGCGGTTTTCAGAGTTTTCATTCCACTAAAATCAATGTTTAGATGGCAATAACTCGAAAAATAAAAATCCAATTTCAGTTTTGATTTAGAACTTACTAACTCATTTCAAACAAAGATTCTAAAAATCTAAATTCCAATTTTATGACATGGGCACTTTAACTACCTAAGAAATATGTCTGAAACGTGGTGGTTCAGTGTAGGTAGTATTCTACAATAAGCTGTCGTGGTTTGTGTCTGAACTACATGGAAAAGATATCTCAAACGTGGCGGTCCAATGTAGGTAGTATTCTACAATAACCTGTTGTAATTTGTGCCTGAACTACCTGAAAAAGATATCTCAAACGTGGTTTCCCAGTAAAGTACCATAAGCTGTCGTGGTTTGTGTTTGAACTACCTGAGAAATATATCTCAAGCGTGGTTGTTCAGTGAACAATAGTTAACGGCTCTTACCATGTCAAAAACTTTAAGATAGCCAGACGAAAATATGATTGCGTTGGGTGGTGTTGCCACTGGCAACATGTAAGCGAAGGAACACGAGAGGGTAGCAGGGACCATCAGGTACCAAGGGTGGATCTTGATATTCACTGCCTGATAAAGATAACAAGAACAGACTTTGAAAAAAGGTCGAAGTTACAGCACGAGTTAAGGTCTGTTAACACGATCCAATTTTGTTGGATCCAATTCACTTCTGACCTATGGAGTGGCAAGTGCCCCCCCCCTCCCTGCCCCTGTCCCATGTCCAGTACGCCAATATGGTTAACCAGCGTCGTTATCCATATCAAAGTGTTTGACATCATAACCAAAGCATGGTTATATTGTTTTTTGTTTGTATATCAGCAACAAACATGCTTGCAAAATGACATAGGACCGGAATTAGACCATTTAGTCAACGTGGTTGTCCATGTCAAAATATTTGACATCATGACCAAAGCATAGTTATATTTTTTAACGTTTGTATATGAGCACCAAACATGCTTGCAACTATACATAGCACCAGAATTAGACCATTGAACTTATAAAACGAGACAACAGACTATAAAACATCCATCAGAAGTCAATTGTATCCAACAAAATTGGATCATGTGAACAGACTTTAGACAGGAAACGTACCACAGAGCCGACAATAGGAAGAAAGATCGAAGCAGTGGCAACGTTAGAGGTGACTTCAGTAAATGCACACAGCACTAGCGACATGATCAAGACGATGTAGAATTGTGGGATTGATTCCAATGACACCATCTGTTCACCAAGCCACTCCGATAGACAAGATACCTTAGATTAAGTAAAGTGTTAGTGCAGGAGGGAGGAAACGTATTGCTCTTTCAGAAATCGTCTCTTATTGATACCACAGGCGGAGGTGTAAACTAAACCGACCTTATTGATACTGCAATCGTCCACAAAATATATTGAGACTTTTCAAATTATGCCCCCCTTCCCCCTATTTCAATGTTGTGGGACATGTACTAACGCTAACGAAGTGTGAATTTGCCCTAAAATGACGCGGGCATGTGTAGCCATTGATTCCCAATACGTTACTTTAAGGTTGAACAGGTTATATTAGAAACAACATTGAAATAGGGGGAGGGGTTGTTTTTGTCTCAGATATTATGTGGACGATTGTCTGAATTTGGATGATATTTGAGCAGAGGTTTTTTATGATTAAAGACGAATATTTTACGGAACAGGACTTATGTTAATCGATAGCTTTTGAATAATGTATATTGACTACAATTTGCTTAGCTTTACGATCGAGCGCCTTTGCAAGTTTTATTCCCTACTTCAGGCTAAGAAATAATAAGAAATGTTATGTACACGACTTACTTTCGCCACTCCCTGTCTTTTCACATCCTTTCTCGGCATTATTTGCAGTAAGATATTCGCAATTTATAGCATGTAAATTTTTGTTATTGTCGCATTTAAAGCATAGTTCTAGAACCGGAAGTGGCAGTTCGTAAAACAATCAGCCGCATTTATTCATGGGGTACCTGTTTTAACGTTAGCACGAAATTCAAATTTTAACGATATTTCTGTGAGTAAAAGGTAAATTAGAAATGGATGATTTTCAATCAAATCAACTTATTAATCCCCGCTGTGGTCGTCGTACATATCTTGTGACTTATTCTCAAGCTGATCTGTGCAAATTTCCTACCCGCCAGAGTTTCGGTCAGATGATTGCGGAACATTTTAACACCGGTCGGGGAAAGGCAAAAGTAACTCACTGGGCCTGTTGTCTTGAGAGTCATGAAGACGGCGGGCTACACTACCATGTATCTTTGAAGCTGACTGCTCCGAAGAAGTGGTTAAAGGTTAAGAACGCCATAACCAAAAAGCATAACGTAACCCTTAATTTCTCGGCCAACCACGACTACTATATTGCTGCGTACAAGTACGTGTGTAAAGCGGATGATAACGTTTTCCACAGCGATGGTCATCCTGATTTGAGCGACGTTGGATCCCCCAAAACGAAGAGTTCAACGAAAGCATATAGAGAGTCCAGAAAAAGAGCTCGTGATTCAGAAGCGAACGAGACTGCTAACACAGCACATCAGAAGAAACCAAAGAAGTTGTCGAATTTGGATGTTTCCGATTACATGGTTAAGAAGAACATAAAGAGAGACACGGAACTTTTCGCTGCGGCTAAGAAAAGAAAGGACGAGGGTCAGGCAGATTTAGCTAATTTCGTGCTCACTAAGTCGTCGAAGGTTCTAAGCGAACTAATTGAGAAAACGTGGAAAATGGAAACGGCTAGCGTTACTCTGGATCGCGAGAATAAATCTAGAATGGATATCCTTCGAGAGAAAGCTGCTGATGATTGTGCCCCAGGTTGTGACAAGACGTGGTTAGAATGCGCTATAGAAACGCTACGAAATAACAAGCTACA